AACGGCTCCGCCTCCGCCTCCGCCCCTTTTGAGCTGAAGCGCAGGAAGCGCGCAGCAACCGCTCGGCCATTTTACCTGAGTGCCGCAGCCAAGGAAGCAAACAGAGAAAGCGCAAAATAAAGAAGATGAAGAAGCAGAAGCAAGAGCGAAGCAAAGCAGAGAAATCCACAACAAAAATTGAGCAAAATATTTGTTGACTTTTATGTTGTTGTTTTTTTTTTTTTTTTTTTTGGTTTTTCGTTTTTACTTTTATTTTTATTTTTGTTTCTTATTTTTTTATTTTCATTTTTTTTTTTTTTATTTTTTTTTTTTTTTTGTATTTTTATTTGTGCTGTTTGCCTTCATTTGCATATAAAATTTTTATGTTGCGCCCGAAAGCGTTTATTTGCTTTGGCTTTGGCCAACAGACGAGCTGCAGCCGCTATCAGCGAGCGTCCTCAACAAGCGGCCCCTAACTACCGTGCCACTAGCACCACCCGCACCACCCGCACCACTCGCACCACTGGCCCCGCTCGACTCGGACTTGCCACATTCATTTTGCGGTCATGTCTAATACAAATAAACGTGCCACACACACACACTTACACATTTACACACTCACACACACACACACACACACACTAGATAGTCATAGATGGAGCGTAGTTTGGGCCACGTTTGATGCGGGCCTGCGACTCCATTTTGTTGTTTTTGTTTTTTTTTCTGTTGGCCCGGCTCATGTTTTATTTTGCGCACATTATGGCAAATCATTTCATTTGATGTGAACAGCACGAAACTAAACAGAAACTCACAAAAAAGAGAGAAAGCACACACACTCGCACACATACAGTCACACACACACACTCACTCACATGGGCAAATAGAATAGCAACAAAGTAAACACAAACAAATAAAATCGTTAATGTCGGTCGGCAAACAGATCCGAACTATTAGATCATTTGTATTAAGACAAATGTGAATTGGGAAATGGAAACAATGCAATGGAACAGGGGGCAGATCTATCGGGAAACGATAGAATGATCCAGATATAGGCTGGGAATTACTCATGCTCTCCCGCTCTAACTGCACTTCTCTGACTCTAGTTCTTCATCTGCTTCTATAACTTACTTTCTACTTGTCTCTCTTCTTTAACTCTCTCTCACACTTTCTCTCTCTATCTCCTTCTCTCTTACTCATACTTTTATTCTTACTCTTACTCTCTAACTCGCTCTTAATGTTTCATTTCACTTCCATTTTCATTGTCAATATCCTCGGCTAAATCTTTCTCATTCTAGCTTTCACTCTTTCCTTCCAGCTCTTCCATTCTAGCTATCTCTCTTTCTCTTATTATATATATAACTCTTATTTATTTCTTACTCTCGCACTCTCTCTCTCTCACTATTTCATTAATTCTCTCACTCCCTCTCATTTTTTCTTTTTCTATCTTTATCTCTCTCTGTCTGTCTTTCTCTCCCTCTCTCTCTCCTTTTCTTTTCTTTTTTCCCTCTATGTCTCATATGCTCTCTCTCTCCTTTTCTTTCTCTTTCTCCCTCTATGTCTCATATGCTCTCTCTCTCTCTATCACTCTATTTCTTACTGTATCACTCAGTCTCTCTAACTGTCTCCCTCTCCCTCTCTCTATCTCTCTCTCTCTTTTTCTCTTCAATCTTTTTCATTCCACTCTTATCCTACTTTTTTGTTCTTGCTCTCATTGCTGTTGCTTTTGTCAATCACCGACAACCGCTTAATACAATTTATGAGAATCGCATCGAAAGGCATTACTCACTAACGCGACAGAGCAAGACAGAAGCTATTTCTTTCAGCTCTGTGTCAATCCATCACAATTTTTTGTTTGTTTATTTTATCTCTTCGCATTCTTCAAGCACTTCAAACACATCGCCCAAGCAAATACTTGCCAATGCCAAAGCTTTGATATTTTCTTATTATTTTATCTTAATAAATGCCAAACTCTGTCACTGCTGCTGCGGCTCCTGCAGCTGCTCCTGCTGCTGCTGCTAATGCTGCTGCTGCTGCTGCTGCTGCTGCTGTAATTAGTCACTAGCAAAGGCAGCGAGCCGCCCGTTCGGGCGCATGCAGTCCTCTAATTGGCTTATCAAAAAGTGTTGCATACTTTCTAGTGCCCGCAGTTTGACGAGCGTAAGTTGGTGAGCGAGCGTGTGTGCGAATGTGTGTGCGTGTGTGTGTATGTGAGCCGCAAATCAAATTGCATGTGCACACAGCTTAACTAAGCCGCAACCAGCCACGCCCACCCGGCCAGCAGCAGAGTCGCCGCGCCTAAGCCATCAAAAAAGCGGGAAATTTGGTTTTACAACGTTAAGCAAATTAAATTTTTTTGTTGGCCAAAAATTGTTAAATGCTGCACACACACACACACACACACAGACAGAACCACACAGTCATACAGGCACATACGCAAACATACACACACGCACACACACTTAGGCATGTTAATTTAGTTATGCTTAAGTATTAAAAAGAGATTTTTGAGCTCATTGAGTCAAAAAAGTTTGGCGAGGCCACAGCTTAAAAACTTTTACACACAGCTAAAGCAACTAGGCGAGCGAGCTAGATAGAGCAAGAGAGAGAGAGAGAGAGAGAGAGAGAGAGTGCTGATGAGAGTGTCTGACAGGCAGCTAGCGCCAAACTATTTGGGAAATTTGTTTTAAGTTTGATTAAAATTATAACAAGCAGCCAAGGAACTTAAAACAGTTCGCTCTAGCTAAATTTCTCCCTCTACATCTACCTCACTCTCACTCTAACTCCCTCTCTCTTTCTGCTTCCCTTGTCTGCTGGCAAATTAGTTGGCCAAGTCTTTTGGCATTGAAATACGTAAAATTTGTCAGTTGTCAGACAGACTCTAACTGAGCCCAGCGTCCCACTATGTCAGCCATGCACACATGTAATCGCTCATTCATTCATTCACTCATTCATTCATTCTTTACCACTTCTCTTATTTATACCTTCACTCTTTGTCGAGCGCTTGCGGTGCGGGCTAAGCTTGATTTTAAATCAATTTAAGCGTTTACAGACAGTTGAACCTTTTGTCCCCAACATTATCAAATACACACACACATGCACACACACACACACACATACACACACACACCCGCAGTATGTGCGCTCGTTTAGTTTTTGTCGTCGTGGAAACTGTTAAAAATCTATAGAATGTTCTCTTTTGCTGCCACATCAGCTGCAGAGCTGCTTAAATTTGCTTAAATACTAAGAAAATTAGTAATCGATTATTATCGATTTTTTACTTGAATTGCCAAATTTAGCTTGAAGTTGAAGCTAATTGTGGCTGAAACTATGATTCACAATAAATATGTCATTACTTTAATACTAGAGTAATATAGCATGCTCTATCGACTTATCGATTATTTTTTGGGAGTGATTTGTATCAAAAAATCTATTAATTCAAGTAACAATCCATAGACGAGCTGCCAGCAAAATATAGAACTTTATGTTTCAAGAGTTATACTATTTTATGGATTGATCGATATTTATCGATATGTATTGATATACAGTTTTGGCCAAGAAGTGATATGCATTGATGACTGTTTCTTTCTTGTCAAATATGCGCTGCGTTGCCTTTCAAATAGTTGCAAATAAATTGCCTTGAAATTGCAATGTTGACTATCTACCGATATATATCGATATATATCGAGTTATTGAAAAATAAAGTTCTATGTGGCTTCCAAATTGTATGTTCTGAAAAACGGTCCTGTCCGATAAATATCGATAAGTACTTCTCAAAATCTCAACACTAAATTACTAAAGTAGCTAAACACAAACAAAAAAATTAAAAATAAAATTAAGTAAAATATATATATCAGCAATTTAGGCAAACACTTAAATGTGCCATAAAATTATTATTTGAATTTTGCATCAATTCCTTGGCATTTATTTTTGGCTGCCTGAAAAGTGGGTCAACACATCTGTGTGCGGGGGTGTTTACGTATGTGTGTGTGTGTAAAACGGGGCGTATTTCATTTTATTTTAGTTTTCATTTTTTTGTATGTTTGTGTTGTTAGTTTGTGGCTTTTAGTAGTTGTTTATAAATTCATACACACTCGCAATTAGCAGAGGACTTTGTGATGTTTTGTTTCCCTTCCTTTTCTATTTTTTCGTTGTTATATATCCTGAACCCATTTAAAGTGGATATTTGGGGTATGCTTGTTTGGTTAACGGACGTGGACAGACTACGGGACAGCCATCGGCGTCAGAAATGCTATAAGGTCACATATATATGTGTTTGATCTGTAATAATGTGTAGTGGACTCTATTTGAATCGACGGTCTAGTGACGAAAATTTGTCCTTAGTTTGTTCGAAATTTTCAATATTTCAAAAAATTTGTTTTCTTGAAAAAATATAGAAGAAATATAGAAAACCTTGTAGACGCTATAATACAAGTCACGAGAGCAGGTTGAATTCTTGAGACATCTCTACAGGATCTTTATTAAGCTATCGTAACTTCAATTCAAATTCTAAAAATATTTTCAAGCGGAACTCGAGACTTAACAAAATTAGAAAAGCAAAGCTTGATGCTATAGCTCTCCTTAAGAATAGACAGTCGATATGTAAGTCACTTTTTCAATGCCTACCAATAGTCTATGAGATCAACTTGTAAGTTTAAGCAAAAGGATTTCTCAATCCTTAAGGACTTGTAACTGACTAACATGATGACTTCTCATGCTATATGATGAACTGATGAATATCAATGAATACCAATTCATCAATACTATACAACATAAGAGCATATAATCTCCTTTAACGTTAATTCTCAACCTTTTCGAACGCAGCTCGAGAACTATAAGAGTTACTCACACAAGATTTGGCAATACGTGCTAAGTGAATTATGTATAAATAAATTATATATCTGTGTTTTGATGTCTGTCCGAAAAGTTTTCTTATAACAGTATAAAATTTAAAATACATATTCTTTAAATTAAAAAAGGACGTTGTGGACGATGGATAGGGAAATTTTCGACAGGTGTAACTGTTAAAAACCCGTGTTGAGCTCGGCTATTTTCCAGCACGTCTTGGCCTTGAATGGACCTTTGATTTTGCACTCGTCACGCGAGCAAACGCCAATCGTATAATATTCAATGCTGCGAGTATCGCGATAGAACAGAACTTTCATGCATTCGCGCAGCGCATTGACTGCTTCGACATATGTGAAGGGGCGATGGCGCGGCTGGCGCTCACGTATGAGCGGCTCGACCAGCACGCGAGAGAATCCGGTGGTAACAACATCAGAGGTTAGGGCCGTGCCTCGAGAGTCCACATAACCGAGATACGGTTTATTGTTGGGAGTCATGCCGCCAATGACCAGATCAACGTCCAGCTTATCCCTCTTGTTGCGGCGACTGTAGAGAAGTCGCGTCATCCAGCTGTGCAAAGATTTTGGCGACAAATGGTGGCCATCCTGGAAGCAGTGATCCTCGATGATCTTATGGCTGATCGTACGCACCACCGCCTGTACATCGGCAAAGTCTCTGCCACCGCCCAGTATAGTGTTCCTGTTGATCCTCATCACGCGATCAACGTCCTGATAACGGCACGCGTTGCCATAGACGACGAGCGTATCGGCCGCAATCATAACGCCGTCATCGAATTTCACCCCCACCACTGAGGAGGCAGGTGTGACGGAGTCTGAGTGGAATCTAGACATTGAAAACAATTTTGCAACTCTCCAAGTACAATGTGCAGAAAAACTAGCCAAAGAATTTATAAAAAAAACTTGGAATTGATCTCAACTCTAAATCATCTATATATATAATGAAAGCATTTAGTTTTGTAATAGGCTCAGTATAATTGAAGCATTTTATCACAGCACACTGAGAGCCGTAGTTACCTTGTATGAATATGATTACAGATTTGTAGTGTTTCCTAGTGTTAAGTTAATTTTTAAATAGATAAGGATATCCATTTCTCTGTAACTTTATATGTATGATCGTCTCCATCTGTGCTCGTCTATTACCGTGTCGCAATCGTTTGTTGTTCATTGGTCCTCATCCTTATCTATCTATCTATCTATCTATATTTATCCATCTATCTATCTACCCATCTAATTATCTATCCATATATCATCTATCAATCTATCTATCTATCTCTTCGATCCTCTATCTTTCCATCCTGCTGTCTGTATGCGCATTGTTCAAAACTTTTCATATTTTAGATATTCTTTCAAATGGTCTATAATATTCATTAATTTGTTTCTTATACATAAAAATCTATAAAATTGATATAAATCGATAACAAACACAATTTATCTCAGCATATTTCATAATCATTTATAGCAGAAGTCTTTAAATATGATTTCTAGTTTAGCTGGTGATACTTTTTAGTTGAAAAATCATAATTAAAAATAATTTTTAATGACTTATGTAGAGGTATATATTTATAGAGAAGATATGGATATTAACTCCTAAGTATCGCCTCAGAGATTCTAGGATATTCGCTCGCCCAGCTGGTCAGGCTTTGAAAAAATGTGAGATATTTAGTGTAGACTATAAAAATATATGTATATTTATATTTTTGGGAGTAACTAAGCTTCGCTGCTCATGTGTGTGTGTGTGTGTGTGCTGTAAAACAAAAACCTTTACTAACTTCTGCCAACTTGCTTGACTTTTCGCATAGCTCATATAAAGCGAGCAGCAACAGCTGCTATTGCTGTTGCTGTTGTTGTTGCTGTTACTCCTAGTGTTGTTGGTGAACTCTTTTGTTGTAAAATGTTGTTGCATTTTGCTGTGTGGCCACAAAATATGCTTTTGCACAGATCAAATATGTTGAAAATGCTTATTGAAACTGGCGACAATGAAAGTAACTAAAAAACGATGAAGCAAAAGCGTTGATCAACTGTGCAATACTCGCTCAGCGGCAGCTGAATGTAGTGAACTATGATAACTGGTTAGAGTATTTCTAGAAAAGGCTAGATCTTTCTGTGAGGCAGCGTCAATTTGAGGCGGGCTAAGCGCTAGAACTTTAAAAGTTGCCACGCCCCTTGAAATATAATGCAAATATATGTATATATTTGATATTCATGCTAAAACCCATCCACTCGTATCACAGCACGAACGGGCAGCAGACAGCAAAGTTTTATGTTTATCATGCGACAAGCAAATTAATTTTGTTGCGGGGGCGTAACACTCAATTCATAACAACAACAACAACAACAACCAGAATGTTGACATGCGTGTAGTTGCATTATTATTACTATTGTTGCTGTTGTTGTTTTTTGTTATTTGTATTGCTGCGGCTGGCGCAGCAAAAATAATTAAAATCCAAATAAAATGTAAAGTGCAGAAATATAAAACAAAAACAAAAACAAACAAGTAAGAAAGCTCTAGTCGAGACTACTCGACTACGAGATCCCCTGAACCCTTGGAGTAATAGCTATTTCAATAATTTTTCGCGTCTTTCAGCTTACACAAGAAACACGCACACACACACACACGCACGCACGCACAGACACACACATACATAAACACATACACACACAAGCAACCACGCATTAACACGCATGGGCGGCAGTGAGCGCTTACTATGAGAACTTAATTGCTTAATAACTTTTTTTGTGGACGTACGATCTTCATGAAACCTTTAGATTATGATAACAACATAGATATGCATGTATTTGCGAAAGCACAAGTCTCTAGTATTTGAAATACGCTTTTTACAAAAGTGAGGGTGAGGGGGTGAATTTAGAGATGGGGGGGTAAATTTTAACAAAAACCGAAATTGTATAAATTGCATATAAGCATACATTAAAAATTTGGAGACTCTAGCAATAAAGGTGTAGAAGATATAATTTGATAACTGGTTTTCGATAAGGTTTTTTATCGATAAAAAAATATCGGGATGAGTTATCGATTTTTAATGATAAACTTGATATGCGCGCTGTAATTACGGACATTTAAAAAAAATTTGAAGTCTCTAGCTCTTATATCTTCTGAAATCGACGCGTTCATACATACGGACAGACGGACAGACGGACAGACGGACGGACGGACAGACGGACAGACAGACGGACAGGGCCAAATCAACTCAGCTCGTCGCCCTGATCAAGAATATATATACTTTGTGGGGTCTGCCACGCCTCCTTCTGCCTGTTACATACATTTCAACAAAACCATTATACCCTGATTTCCCATTGAAAATGGGTTCAGGGTATAAAAACACTACGAGCTACCGACTGCATAATACTCGCTCAAGGCACCTTCAAAAAATTTGCTGAGAGGAATTCTAGAATAAATTAGTTGTCAAATGTAGCTCGGATGGACAGATGTATAGATGGTAGGATGGAAAATTGGACTGTGGGATAGACGAACAGAAGGAAAGAAGGAGAGCGACAGAGAGAGAAAATGAGAAAGAGAGAGAAAGAGAAAGAGACAGAGAGAGAGAGAGAGCGAGAGAGAGAAAGACAATGTAGAAAAAAAGAAACGAAGAACAGATAGAGGTGAGAAGAGGACAGTTGGACGTATGAAGAAAAGGACAGATAGACGGACGAGTACACGGCAGATGGTACGGCTCGATGGATAGACGGATATGGATATACGGAGATAAACGGATGGACAGATGGACGGATGGATGCATAGTCAGAAGGACGGACAGACAGATGGACGGATAGACACATGTCTATATGGATGGACAGATGGACGGCTGGACAGATAGACGAATGAAGACGGGCAGATGGGGAAACAAATGGACAAAGGGACAGATAGATAGAGGGAAAGGTGTACGGAAGATCGGACAGACAGTCGGCCAATAGACAAACTATTGAAGACACATACAGAAGAGCAGATGGACAGGCGGACTGATGGACTACCAGACGGTGAGCTGAGCAAACGGACTAAGGTCTGCCAGAAGACGGATGGACAGCCATACAGAGGGTTGCACCAATATACTCCATTCATCATGAGCGAGCATAAATACAACAAAATTGATGCAAATAAATAACAATAAATACAAAGAAAAATAAAATACAAAAAAAAAAGAAAGAGGAGAACAAAAAATGCCAACCCATTTAAGCAAATAAATATTTTTTCAATTAGTTGCATGCTGGGCGTGGCAGTGCCCAGATGCCGAATGCCTGATGCTGTAATAAGCAACAGTGACAGTAGCAGCAGCAGTAGCAGCATGAGCAGCAGGAGTAGCAGCAACAGTGGCAGCAGCAGCAACTATAACAACCGGAAATGCGCCATTGTTAACGGCTCGCCGCCTTCAGCTGGCGTCCATTTGGTGCTGTCGCATAAGCGCGCTTAATATTTTACATGGCTATGGCAATAAAAACTCTATTATTATAAATATTTAACAATTCTGACAATTGTTGTTGGTACGCGACACGCTTAACGCTCATTGTCCTTGTTATCCAAGCCAACAGCCGTTATTCCGGCACGAACTCGAGACCCGAGAGCCGAGAACCGAGAGCCAAGCCCCAAGCCCAGGCCCAGGACGCGTGCAGAGCAGCTGCAATTTTCACGCTGCACGCTCGTTGCGTTTTAAACGAGTTAATGTGACACTGTACAACACTGCACAAACACACACACACACACACACACACGCACACAGGCACAGCTGCTAGTTTTTAGTTACCTTGCTTCAGACTCGATTACATTTTCAACAACAAACCATAAACGTTGCCCCGTGGCAGCTAACATAAATTAGATATGTGCCACTTGCAAAGTGGCATGGCGCTTAGCCAGTGTTGGTTAACAGGGCAAAATTATTTAGCTCTATGAAGCTCATAGGCATAATAGAAATGGCACAGTTAAGTCAAGCAATTAATTAGCAATAAAATACCGTCAAGCTTAAGACGTTATCCAACACTGTTAAGTGTTGTAAGTCCAGTCTTAAGATGATACGTTGTCCTACTTTGAGAGAGTGAATATATTATATCGGACATTTATATATATCCAAAGATATCCAGTGATATCTGAAATCTGCAAAAAGCTTTTGTCATTGTTCAACACGGTTAATTAGTTTAGATTAGTCAGCATTCAACGGCTGTGTTAAACAATGTGTATTTGTATTTTTTTTTTTTTTTTTTTTTCAATGAGTTTGTATCACATAAATTCATATAAAACATCATTGATGTCCATTCTCAAGTAACGTAAGTTTTTGTTGTTTTTCAACACTGTCAACGTAGTATCGAACAGTTCTATTAAAGCTCACTCTAAGCTTTTTACCATATATACATTGTTTATAATATGATTCATCCAATTCCAATTCAGACATAAGCTGAGCTTGTGGCCTTACCCAACACTGTTGGCTTCAATTTAAAAAGGAATTCGAAAACTCTACTGAGGCACATTTTTGATTCACTTTCACTTCAATCAATTTGAGTCATAAAGCTCTACTTCTATACCTCTAGGAATTTTCCGAAGTTTGTGTCGTTGCTCCATACTGTTAGCTGGTTTTTAACACTGCTCAACACTGTTTATCAAACCTAGAGCTGATCTGATACTCTCTAAACTCTTTCTGAAAACGAGCTAACAAGTGGCAGCACTGTTTTGTCTAAATGGCAATGCGCGTAATTATACCTTTGAGCCGTATCGGCCATTTCATAAATGGCTTAAAGCCATTTGCTGTGCAGCAATT